AGAGAGAGAGAGAGAGAGAGAGAGAGAGAGAGAGAGAGGGAGAGAGAGGGAGGAGAGAGGAGAGAGAGAGAGAGAAGACAGAGACAGAGAGAAAACAACACTGAGTCCCAATTCCTCGTCTGCATAGAGAAACGGCATCCGGGGGGACCGCTCATACTGCCAGCGGTGGTACTTTCTGTTCCTTCCTGAGACACGTTTTGAGTAGAAGACAAAGTACACAGTCTCCTAGCTTCATGTTTCCTGGTCCTCAAACTTCTCACGACTCGCAGCGCGACGCTGCCAAGCTGTTCAGGAGACCAAGCAGATCAGGGCATGAAGCCACGCTTCCGCCCACACTGGCACAGGGGAGGTCGGCGCAGCACGCGGTCCTACGGCCCCGCGGGATGACGCCACCGCGCTGCCTGCCGACACGCATCGCCCCCGGCCGCACCGCCGCGGTCCTTCCGCCAGGCGGCGCCGCCGCAACTTAATCACGCGCCCCCCCTTGTGCGCAGCCGCGCTGGCGCTCGGGACACGTCACCGCCTTCGCGTCCTTTCTGGAGAGCGCGCGAAGGAGGGCGCAGCGGGTGGTGACGTCACCGGGGTTCCCCGCGAAGCTCGGGCGGGCGGGCGGGCGGGGCTGGGGACGTGGCGCCCACGATCGCGGAGCTGGAGGGGAGGAGACGAATGAGGAGGGAGGGATGGGTGAGGGAGGTGGGCACAGGGGAGTGGAGAGGACCGTGGGGGGGGGAGGGGGGCGTGTAGAGGGGCAAAAGAGGAGAGAAAGGGGGCCGAGGAGAGGGGCGCGAGACGGGAAGGGAGAGGTGAGAAGAGAAAGTGGGGGTAGGGGAGAGTGGGGGAAGGAAGGAAGCGTGGAGGCGACGGGGAGGACGAAGAGTTGGGGAGGGGGGAGTGTTGAAGGGAAGCGGGTGGAAGTGGAGGGTACTTAGAGGTCCTAGCCCCCCGCTTGCAGCGCAGGCTCAGTCCCGAGGCCTCCGAGGCGGGTCTGGGGCTCCTTCCGGCAGTGGACTTTTCGGCAGTCAGCCACATCCTCTTCCTTTAACCCGAGGACCGCCTCGGGACCAAAGCGTGGCTTAGGTTCTGGCCATCCGGTACGAGTGGCCCTGAGCAGGGCGATGGGCACCTGAGGTTTGGCTCTGCGTCAGTACCGCACAGACTTGGTAGTCTGGCCTTTTCTGTTTCTAAGGGCAGTCATTCCCCAACCTTAACCACTCGAAGGCTTTGTGTTCCTGTGCCCTGGCAGTTAGCAGCAGAAGTTTCTCCCATTCCTGTAAGCCTCAAGTCCTCTGGTTGACAAAGAGGCTGGAACGTGGGACCTGCTCAGATCTCCAAGTGGGTCCCAGTTTACCCTAACACCAGCCTAAGTCCTTGTCCCTGGGGGCACAGCACGCACAGTGGCCTTGAGACGCCCTTCCTGCCCTCCCAGAGTGCCCACCTTCTACGACAGTGCCAAGGCATTGGTAAGAAGATGGCCTGTCCCCCGGAGGCAAGCCAGCCTGGGTAGCTTGAGCAAGGCCTGGCAGGCAGGGTCACCCAGGACTGTCTCCTGGAACATTAAGATATAAGGCAACTCCCCCCCCCCCCCAATCCCTGACTTTGAGAAAGTCAGGAGGTCAGGTCTGGGAACCATGCTGTCAGCTGAGAACAGTACATTCCCTCTCCTCTCAGCAGGAGCATTGAGCTGTGGTCTCGGAGACTGCTCCAGCCCTATTGGTGGGTCTTCTCTAGGGTGAGTCCCCAGGACCTCCTGGGGGTGTGAGTTAGCTGTGACCTTAACTCCATGTGCTCTCTCGGCCACTCCTGTCATGTTTATTAGTACAAGGCCATGTTGGGTTTCAGATGAAAGACAGTATTTGAGGTTTAAAAAAAAAAACCGGAGGGAAGCAGCCCTCCCGCTTGTGGCCTGCAGCAGGGTGAGCGACTGGAAGGGCTCCTGTGTCTCCTGCAGACCCACAGTGCTTTCCGGGAGGAACCCTGCTCCGAGCTCTGAAAACAGCAGCCTGTACGTAGATCTCGCTGGAGATAAAACTGCAGGCATAAGGAAGAGTTGACAGTTTCCCCCAGTTGTCTGGTTTTTGAGACAGGGTCTCACTCTATAGCCCAAGCTAACCTCAAACACAGGATCCTGCCTGAGCCATCCTAGTGCTGGGATTGCAGGTTCGCTATCCTGACTTCCCCATCATGGCGAACTTGGGGGGGGGGCGCCCAGAAAAATCCCAGGCAGACAGTTGAAGGGCTGTGTGTTTTGTAGTGGTTCTTAGGAGCCCAAGCTTTATGCCAGGGGCTTCTGTTTCATGTTCAGAGGCTTTCTGAGCCTGGTTGATAGAACCTGTGTAGGTGGAAGGTGTCCTTCCTTTCTGCCTTTCCTGGAAAAGCAGCGGTTCCTGTCCTGAGTCAGCTGTCACGAGACCTACAGGCACAGGCCCTCAGCAACGGACTGTCGAGGGTTTGAGCATCTGTATGTACCTACGTCTATTCGTTTGTGTCGGAAACTGCCTCAATTCTGTGAACTTGCTAAATAGACACTTTCTTCACTTTGGACCAGCATGGAAGTATCAGGGCCACATCTGGGCCCTTCAAATCAGACTGGCTGAGGAGCTGTGGGAAAGGGCAGAGGGGAAGCAAAAAGCCTCCCTGGGCAAGCGAGGCAGTGTCTTCTGTCCGCCTCTTGCAGACACTTTAAGGAACGTGATAGCAATACAAGCCAGAGGAGGAAACTCTAGATGGAGGCACAGGCCGGCTCCTCTGGGTCAGGGAGGGGAGGCGGCGGCGGGGGAGGAGCTGCAGATGGACACAGTATCCGGAGGTGGAAAGGGACTGTTACCACCACACTGGGACAGCTGCCACTGGAACTGATACAGACCTGTGGTCATCCGAGCTCTCAGCTGCTCAGTGCATGGAAAGACAAGGCCGCAGTGGGAGAGGGAAGTGGAGTTCCAGAGCCGGAGGAAACGTCCTCACTGAGTCATGTGTGCAACCGTGACTGACTGTCGGGCACCGGGGTGGGCTTGGACTGGAGCTCTCTTCCCAGAATGTTTCTGTCCCTGTGAGGAGAGAGCCAGAAGAGACTATGAGCATGAGATGCAGCGTGTCAGGCAGTGACGGTGCTGTTGAGAAGGCAGACAGTGTGGGGAGCAGGAGGAAGTGTGGAGCCCTTCCCTCTCCATTGTTAAAGCAGGATGTGGGCCTTCTTGGTGGTGGGCAGGACTACACCAAAAGGCAGCCCAGGGGAAGCCCTCAGTCTCTTGTCCAGATAGCTGTGGTTGGAGATAGGTTTGATTCTACACTTCCCAGCCTCCGTGGTTTCAAATCAAGCTGAGTATGGCAGCTTATGACTGATCTCTGGGGCAGGAGGACCACTGAGTGTGAGGTCAGCCTTAGCAGCAGAGTAGAGGACAAAGGATGTAGCTCAGTTGGTAGGAGTGCTTGCTTAGCAGGCACAGAACCCTGCTTTAGACTCCCAGCACCCCATAAACTGTACCCAGTGGCACACACCTATAATCCCCATACCGAGAAGGTAGAAGCAGAAGGATCAGAAGTTCAAGGACATCCTCAGTGTCATAATTATCTCAAGGCTAGCTTAAAGCAAATTCATCGATGTTTATAACCCTGCTCCTTTGAAATACGGCTCTTCTAGCCAGCAGGAAACCTCTGCCTTTTCTCTGCAATGCTGGAGAATGGACGCAGGGCCTTGTGCATGCTCTGTACATGCGCTACCACTCAGCTACCGCTGCAGCCTAAGCTCCTGCTTCTGCAGCTCAGGATGGTGGGCATGATGACCCAGCCACAATATCTTGCAGTTTTTCAAAGGTACTCTGCATACCTGACTGCAGTGTCAGGAAATCAGGGGCGTAAACATCCCCTGTACCTTAAGGCAGCCCCACAAGCAGCAGGACAGAGGGGTGCTGAGCACACACTTGGCCCCTGTTTTACATGAATTTTGTGTGAGTAAATATAGCAGCAAAGAAGCCCCGTGGCCTTGGTGAGGTGGGGAGCTGACCGTGTTGTCTCTAGAGATAAATTTATAAGGATGACTCACTGAGGGAAAAATAAGCCAAGATCTCCAACTGGAGCACATTCCCTGAAAGCTAGGTGTGTTGACAGGAAAGTGGAATTTCACCCTGCATGCAAACACAATTCTATGAGTGTTACTTTGTGGGCTGTGGCAGAAGTGAGCAGGAGAAGAGCTAAAGCATGCTGTCAGCTATTGTTCTGCCCGGGGTGTGGGGCTGGGGACATGGAAGGGAGAGGTCATCATTGAGACTGTGCCCCTGTCTTGACAAGCTCTCAGCAGCCTGTGCCTGGAAGGCCATCTCACCTTACCTACTTCTTCTGATGCTAATGTCTGTTTTTCCAGAGATGAACACCAGTGCCATTCCACAGACATTTTGTCATCTGTACAAGGTCAAGGAAGTAAAGGTTTGTGGACAGAGCAGGAAAGATCAAATATGGGGTAATGTAGATCCTAGTATCAACAGATCCTGTGACAAAGCCGAGAGGCACCCTACTCAGCATCAGGGTCTACACTGGTAGGACCTCTGAATGTGGTCCCAGATGTCCTCTTTGAAGCTGAGGGGGTAGGGAATGAGCACGGGACTGCACAACGTGGAGGACTGTCTGCTGAACTCTACCTAGTAACTTACATTGCTGGTATCACCTACCCACCTGAAGACTGGAGGAAATACACTGGCCTCCTATCAGAAGGGGAGCTGGAAGATGGGATCCTAGTTGACTCTACTGGGCACTTCCTCTGCCTTCTCTAGCTCTTCTACCGTGAAGTTCTGGCTTCCTCTCATACACAGGACTTGAACTTGTCTCTCTTGGTCCTTCAGGTGCAGACATTGTATAAAGAGAGGATGCCGGGCCCTTCCCTTGCTGGCCACTTTAATAAGTTAGTTGATGACGTCCTTATGTAAACAGGATCCTCCCTGCTTCCTTCCTCTGCACAGAGAACTCCCTGGGAATCACATAAGAAGAGGTATAGGAAACTGGGAAGTGTGGCGTCTGTCCCCCACCACAGTAACATGTAGTCTTGAGGACCAGAGCACATCTGCAGGGTAACCAGTGCTTTAAACACATGTCCGGACAGCACTCATGAGAGACCACCCAAGCGGCCATGCTTGCCTAAGCTGGCAGCTGGCAGTACACACCACTGAACTGATGACTCCCATGATCCACTTCTTCCCACTTCCCATTAGCACTACTTTAATTCAGTAGCTGCATTTTTTTCTGGACTCTTGCTTAGCTGGTCTTCGTGTATACATTCTTCCCTTACCATAACTGTCTATTCTGTAAATTTGGGGTGTTAGGGCTTGAATACATGGCCTTGAGTCCCTAAGACAAACATTCCACTAATGAGATGCTTGTTTCAAGTTCATGTTGTTCCCTTGCTTGAACCCCTTAAGTCCCCAATGGGACTGGGGCATAATTTAAGTACTTTTCTAGCATGCATAATGCCCTGGATCTCACCCCCAGCACTCAGGAGCTGCAGGCAGGAGGATGGCTCCAGGTTTTTATTAAAAAAAAAAACATATTAGAAATTCAAGCAACATCTGACACCCAACATAGGGCACGAATTCACGAAAAAGCCACATGCTCAGGCCAAAGCTCCATGCTGGCAGAATCTCCACCCTGCCTGGGCCGGACTCCCTAACCCACTGGTAAAGTTTTTGTTGCAGCCTCTCTGAGCAAACTTCATAGGCTTTTGGGTCCCCAAAACCACAGGAGTTAGCCACTTTTCACACATTTTCCCTGTGAGAGGGCTGGATCTTTCACTTCTTTCCTCTCCTGGTGGGTTTTGGCTTTCCTTGGGCCCCCTCCTCAGGCTGCTGCCACACCATCATCTGAGTCATCACTGTCAGCAGATTTGGTGAGTCAATTCAGAGTTCTTAAAGGGAGGAATTAATGCTTTTTCCCCACATGAAAAAATGAGAAACATTTTTACAATTGAAGGCATTTTATCTCTATTTGACTATACATTAAATGCTCTAAAAATGGAACAATTAAATGAGAGGATAATTAATGTTAATGGATAGATATAATGTCAATTATAATTATTTGATCATTTTTGTTTTATCATTTAAAAAGTTGGTTAATATGAGTATCAAGCTAAAAGTTTTAGAAAAACTTGTTAAAACAGATCATAGAGATGTTCAGACCCAGACAGAAG